GGGAGGGAGAGAGAGAGAGAGAGAGAGAGAGAGAGAGAGAGAGAGAGAGAGAGAGAGAGAACAACAAAGAATGTTCTTTCTGTGCCAACTCAGAAAGCTCAAACTGCCCAAGGAGCTGCTGATCCAGTTCTACAGAGGAATGATTGAGTCTGTCATCTGCACCTCTATAACTGTCTGGTTTGGTTCTACAACCCAACAGGACAGACACAGACTTCAGAGGATAATTAGGACAGCAGAAAAAAACAATTACTACCAACCTGCCTTCAATCGAGGACCTGTATACTGCACGAGTCAAAAAGAGGGCTGAGAAAATATCTACAGACCCTTCACAACCTGGACATAAACTGTTTCAACTCCTACCCTCAAAACGACGCTATAGAGCCCTGCACACCAGAACAACTAGAAGCAAGGAGAGTTTTCCCCCGAACACCATCACTCTGCTAAACAAATAATTCACCCAACACTGTCCAACTATTGACTAAGTCTGCACTACTATTACTGTTAATCTTCTCACCACTCCTTATCACCCATCCTCTCCCATTTGTGACTGTATGACTGTAACCTTACGATTTATATTGACTGTTTCCTAGTATGATTTGATTGCTTATTGTACCCTATGACTATTATGAAGGGTTGTACCTGATGATCCTTGACTCTTGACGAATGTACCTTTTCTTTTATGTACACTGAGAGCATTTGCACCAAGATAAATTCCTTGTGTGTCCAGTCACACTTGGCCAATAAAGGATTCTATTCTAGAGATAAATAGATGATAGATGATAGATGATAGATAGACAGACAGACAGACAGAAGAGAGAGAAAGAGAATCAACCACCCCAAAGTGTAGAGGGAGTCCTCGGCTTATGACCCACAACTGAGCCCAAAATTTCTCCCGCTAAGCCAGACGCTCATAAAGAGAGGTTTGCTCCATTTTATGACCTTCCTTGCCCCGGCTGTTAAGTGAATCACCGCAAGTGTTAAGTTAGTCACATGGCTGTTAAGTGAATCCAGCTTCCCCATTGTACTTTGCTGGTCAGAAGGTCGGGACACTGCAACCGTTTTAAGTACAGGCCGGTTGCCATGCCTCTGAATTTTGATCATATGATCACCGGGACCCTGCCACAGTCGTTAAGTGTGGAAAACAGTTATAAGTCGCTTTTTCCCCCCAGTGGTCACTAAACAAACTGTGGTTAAGTTGAGGACGCTCTGTATTCTTCTTTGTCATTTAGGTCAAAAAACTAACATAAGGATCTCCATTTAGAATTCCAGTCTGCTTGGAAAAGGTTGGGGGCTACATGTGTCCTTTTGTGTGTGTGTGTGTGTGTGTGTGTGTGTGTGAGTTTGTGCATTCTTTTCCAGCACAGTCATCATTATGTTTTAACGACCCCATAATCTCTTGCAAGGTGGAGTCTGGGGCAATTGAACGGAGCTAGCAGTATTTGAATGGCCGGATGCCCTTCCCTGTTGCCAATGCGGAGTTTTGTTCGGCAGAGATATATTCTCAGTGTGCCGAGAGAGAGAAATATCTGCCTTTACCTAGGATCAAACTCACAGCCTCCTGATTGTGAGGCGAGAGCTCCACCTTCTAGGCCACCACACCACTCTCCTTAATGGCACATTGCCATTAAAAAAAGAAAGAAATGTACACACCCTCCCGCATACACTCGTGTCTTGTTCTTTCGGCCCTTGCTTTCACCAGCGGGAATCCCTTCTCGATCCCTGAATCCATTCCTCCGTGCTCCAGAGACCTACCTAGCTCAGAATTCTGCTGGGGCGCCGCCACTTCCTCATGGTTGGCCTCGTTGGCCATCGATCGAGTGATGCGCCCTTTCCGCCAGCCCTGGCTATTAGCCGTCTTGCGCCCTTTGGAGGTGACAGCTTCCTTCTCGTCGTTGTCCTCGCCAGAGGTATCCTCGTTCTTCTCCCTGACGGAACCAGGAGAGAGAGAGAGAGAGAGAGAGATGATCGGGTTGGATTTCCTGCAGAAAGGTGGAAACATCACCACAGCCAATTTACATCGATTTTGCAACGTTTTCCAAAAAGTGGAAGGAAGAGAGAACTGGCTGAGTGTCATGACCCTGAGTCCGAATTCTAGGAAGAAGACGAACAGCTGACAGGGAGTGGAAGTGCACCTCCGTTGGCTGTGGAGGAATCTGGGGAAGAGCAAAGTCCAGCTGGGCAGAGCAGGGAAGAGGTAGAACAAGGGAGAGGGAGTCCAGGCCCATCTCCTCTTCATCCTAGGGCATGCGGGGAGGAACGGAGGAGAGAGCAACATGGGTTGCATGGCTTACGGGGGAGGAAAGAGCCCTGATTCCCTTCATTAGCCACATTTGAGAATGAGAGTTTAAAAGAAATGCATGCTGAGTGAGGCAGCTGTTGGGAGCAAATGTGAGTTTATCTTGTGTTGACTTTACTTATATGTGGTTCCTGGCATCTTCCCGTGTTGAGTTATTGCCGGAAAAAGACAGGCCTTGATTTTTGTTCTCAGAGGATTCCTTCTGAACTATTTTCAGAAGGATCATAGCTGTCATGCCCCCTTCAGAGCGGGAGAGTGGCTCCATTGGCTGTGGAGGAAACTGGGGAAGGGCACAGTCCGGCTGGGCAGAGCAGGGGAGAGGCAGAACAAGGGAGAGGGAGTTCGGAGGAAGACCAAGGCCCGCCCACTCTTCCTTTGCAGGAAGCCAAATTCATGCCTAATTCTGCCAGATTTGGGGGAGAGGGACTTCACAGAGCTGAGCCCTTCTCTGCTCCGTGGTGTTTACTATCCCTGAAGTCTAAAACATGGACAAAAATTTGGAAGGAATATATTTTCCAGGCAGGAAAACCCCAGCATTAAAACTGCAGCCAGGCCAGTTTCTTGGTACACAAAAACTGCTTGTTTCAAGCCACATCCCTTGAGTTTCAGGGTGGGGAAAAATCACCTGCATCCTCTTTTTATGTTGGTCAGGAAGGAGAAGGAAGAACAGATGCAGCCAATGTAGCATTTTATGGGTTTATTTAGGAGATCTGTCTCTTCCCTTCGTCCCAAATGGCCCCGGAGGCAATTGTATTTTCAGCTGCACGAAGGCAGCAGGGAAAAACCAAGTTGGGTTTTTGAGCAAACTTCGGAGAAGAGAAAAATATCACTGGGTTTTTTCCCCCCCCTTTGTTCTTCTTTTCTCTTTCTCGACTTTTGTTTCTCTTTGCACTTGATCTTATTACAAACTTTAATAAAAAAATATAAACTCTTTCACTCCCTCCCCCCACCCCCAATAAAAAAAGGCATCTTTCCAGTGAGTCACAAAAATCGAGGCGAGAAATGGATGCAGTTTTTTCTTGCAATTTCCTTTCTTTTTCTTGGAAAGCAACCGCCCTCCTCCCTCCCTTCTGAGACTTACTTTGTCAGTTCCTCTTTGTCGTTTTCAGATTCTGGCTTCTCCTCTTCCTTCTCTGCATCTTTCTCTTTTTCCTCTTTCTCTTCTTGATTATTCCGGGGCATCTGTTGCTGCTGGTGCTGCTGCTGCTGCTGCTGCTGTTGCTTGAGGCAGGGAAGGAGAATCCAAAAGAGGGAAATTGAACACCTGGATGAGACTAAACCGCCCAAACTCTCACTTTCAAACTTAAGGCGACACGAGACTTCGTCTACGCTTTCTCCTGTTCCCACACAATGATTTCTGAGTGTTCCTCTTTTTAACAGGCTTATCGGAAAGAAATTAAGTACTTGCCGGTTCTATTGTGACACATGCTCGGACAGGGGTCCAAAGCATGAGAGAATACATCATACATGCAAACATGACTCTTACAATTTCAGCCTCCTCATGTGTTGCAACACAGCCCAGCAAAGAAAAGAAAAAATTCGAATGAAAAATCTGTGAGAAAGTGACCAAATTGCTGTCACTCTGCTACAGCCATCTATTTGTCTTTCTATCCATCTACCTACCTATCTACCTATCATCTAGCTAGCTAGCTATCCCAGCCACTTTTCCATCCCATCCATCTATCCGTCATATCTATCTGTTCAGCCCATTCATCCATCCATATCCCTCCACATTCATTCATCCGTCCATCAATCCATTTCTATCTATCCCATTCACTTTTCCATCCCATCCATTCATCTATTCATTCATATATCTAGCCACATCCATCCATCCACACCCATCTATCCATTCATCTATCTCTCATCTATCCATTCATCCCACATTCATTCATCCATCTCTTCACATTCATCCATCCCCCTCTCTCTCTCTCATTCTATCTATCTATCTATCTATCTATCTATCTATCTATCTATCTATCTATCTATCTATCTATCTATCTATCTACATACCTATCTATCTATCATCTATCTATCTATCTATCTATCTATCTATCTATCTATCTATCTATCTAATCTATCTATCATTCTATCTATCCCCTCTATTTTTCCATCCCATCTATCCCTCATCCGTTCATCCCATCCATCCATATCCCTCCACATCCATCCATCCATCAATCCCTATCTCTCTCGCTCATTTCCATATCTATCCCACCCACTCTTCCATCCCATCCATCATGTTTATCACATCCATCCATCCATCCATATCCTTCCACATCCATCCGTCCATCAATTCCTCTACCTACCTACCTACCTACCCATCTTCATATGCTTTTATTATTTTATAAGTAACTCAAAGCAGCGAACACACTTCCTCCTCCTATTTTCCCAACAACAACCTGTGAGGTGGGTTGTGGCGGGGGACACGCTGGCCCTTTTTCAATCCGGATGACCAAACCTCACGGTCAATGTTACAAAGAGGCTTACAAGACACCCGATAAAAAAAGACTGGTGGGGCTTCGGCCGCCATCTTGACTTTTTTGACTTTCCAACGTGCCACCTCATGCAATTTTACCCGCCGGTAAAACCATGGCCACGTCTCTCAGCCCCGTCATGGGTCAGTTTGCATCGCTTCTGAATCTAATTGGACATCGAGACAGCCCTCTGCAGTTTTGAGTACCCTTGCGTGCAAGATATCAGCCTCCCCTTGGGGCTGTGCAGAGAGACAGGACGGTGGAGTGGTTAGCGTGCTGGATTGAGAAACCAGAGGCGCGTAAGACACAGCTGAGTGGAGACACTGAACCAGCCCAACTGAATTGGCAGAGTTGTTGTTATGAGTAAAAAAACAACAAGAGGAGGGGGGCCATGGCAGACCCTGCCTGTGTTCTACAAGTAAAGGCTGGGCCATGATCCAGTCAATCAAGAACCAAATAAATGCAAATCCAGGCTTGCAACAGCGCTACCTATGTCATGCAGATTAACAAAGTTGGAAGGGACCTTGTAGGTCATCTAGTCCAACCCCCCGCCCAAGCAGGACACCCGACACCATTTCTGACAGATGGGCAGTCTAGTCTCTTCTTGAAAGCCTCCAGTGATGAAGCTCCCACAACTTCTGAAGGCAACTTCTGTTCCACCGATTGATTGTTCTCACTGTCAGAAAATTTCTCCCTATTTCCAGGTTGAATCTCTCTTTGTTCAGTTTTCATCCATTGTTCCTTGTCTGGCCTTCAGGTGCTTTAGAAAATAGCTTGACCCCCTCCCC